TCACCGGCCATGGAGGGCAGGACAGTTTGACCGATGTTGCCGGAGCAGCAGGCCAGTTGAACTGCCTTTCAAAGAATTCTGCCCATCGTCCAAGACGTCGATGGATGTTAGTGATTGGCGTTCCGTCATCCTCGCAGATTGCTTCGCTCACACCAGACTTCTTGCTGCCAGTGGCTCGGATGAGTTGGAAGAGCTTCTGGTGATTACCAGATGCAGCTGCTGCTTAACCTATATCAGATTTTTCCTCTCTTCATCGTGTTTGGAGCAAGATGGTATAAGTTTACGAGAGTCTATCATTGCAATAGATGTCGCAGAAACCCATTGGTTTTTTGCAAACATTTGGCTCAAATCACTAATAGCTTCCATAGCTGTTCGTATCTCTTTCCAATTAACATCTGGATCGGCCTCGTTTTCGAAACTGACTAAATGCGACCTCACTTGTTCCTAGAATTTACTTTGGCTTCACCACCACTGGGTTCAACCCAAATGGATCTTCTTAATGTGGCTTCTCTGTGTCCAGTGAGGCGTAAGCGAATGCGTGCTCGTACTAGTGCATGATCAGAGTCTAAACATGTATCCTATGACGAGCGGCAGTCTTCTATAGAGTCTTCCAACGATGACAGACGGCAATATGGTCTATTTGAGTCCATCGTTGGTTTGGTGCAAGGGGTCGGCGTCATGTAAGGTAATGTCTCCTCTTATGTTTAAATTTGGTGCTTATTAGAAATAAACGATTATCTGAGCACAGTTGCAGCAGACGGTAAACATTATCTGTTCGCTGAGCCGAAATACCCACCTAAACGTCTTTCTGTTTGGTTTAAGCTACCTACTTAGGCATTAAAGTCACCTGCTACGAGTACTATGTCTGAGTGTTTAGCTTTTTGAAAAAGTTCAGAGAGTTTTCTGTAGAATTCATCTTTCACTTCATCCGAACTGCAGTCAGTGGGACCGTAGGCAGAAATGACGAAAATGCGACGATGTGTATCTTTATTCTCTCGCGTCCTTACGGAGCCGTTTAGCCGAACAGCGCATAGACGACTGTTAACGGAGATCCATCATAATAGCGCTTGTTCCGCCCTCTTGTTTAGTGCTACGCCTACACCTGCCAGTCCACGAGGACTAGCCATCGGGTCGCCAGATACACGGAGGGTGTATCTCGTCGGCTCTTCGTTTTGCCGAGGTGAGGTCAAGTGAGTGACCACACTAGGATCCTGTATGCGCGTTTCGGAGACACAGCATACATCAATGGTACGAGATTCTAGGGTTTTAGCCAAGCATGCCTGCTGACCGATTTGACATAGTGTGCGTACGTTGAAGGCTCCAATGTGTAGTTTGGAGCGAGGTTTCAGTAGACCTGGGACAGCGTTTTGAGCACTAGAATCGTTGGCTATGGTGATACTTGAGGAGGAAACCAAAGGAGGAAGTTTAGATTTAAAAGTCTATGTAGGAGGAATGATAAGAGTTGAAAAGGGAAATTGATTGTGAATACAGTGATCCTGAGTGCTATTGGAAGTATGAGGGCGGTTATCACTTCCCGGTTGCCCACACCGTGGAAGAGTTCTTCTGGAGATACCTGAAAAGAAATTGGGTTAGAGGTGGTCATAGTGACCTGAGAGCGTGACGTAGTAGTTAAATTCGTAATTGTTGAGACCTTACCGCCGGAGACGAAAATCCGTGAGATAAGACGAGGTGTGCATTTCTAGGGTCAACCTTTTTCAACTGCACCCTTTGAAGGAAGGCAGCATCGCTGTCATGCTGGTTACCTGAGGGAAACGCCCTACTGCTGTCACACCTATGTACAGTCAACATTTTAGCTTCTCCCTTGTACCATAGATTTGCTGCTTTTAGTCTTACCGCACTTCAACCAATCTACCTGGCATAGTAGGACCTTGAGGGACGATTGTTCCAACCATATGGCTCGATTGGTTCATTACGATAGGCAAGCCCGACCTCCACGACAAGGTAGCAGCAATGGTAGGGAGATTACAGAATAGACAAATATCTTCGTTCATTGAGAAACATTTTGTTAAGACCGGTTTTAGGGTTGATGTCAATTCAGCCTTTATAATGTTATACAAAAGTGTTTCAGGGCTTGTGCTAAAATTGACTTTAGCCTCGACCATGCGAAAGCTAAAACTGTTTTCATGTGTCCAAAAACAATATGTTCTTACTCTTACCCTACCTTGGTAGTACTGATTTATGCAGTGCGGTTTTCATAAAGTGTTCTTTATTATTATCTTTGTCTTCGTTCAGCTAATTTGCCCTGGTATGGCCGAGATCGGGGAGGGTTCGCCCTCCCTCTCGAAATACTCTTACACGGCCATGCGTATACAGCCTCTGCCAGGGAAGTCCTACTCACTGCCTTCTCGTGGCGGGGGTGTTATTTACGAAAATGAGAGGACGAAAAGCGAATGTCCGGCGCTATAACCAGATCCCAAATTAATGGTGCACATGGGCTCCAGTATCCGAAGGGAACAAATGGCGTATGAACCAATTTTTGGTCACCGGCTTCCATAGGACTGCATCTCCTCACGATGCTCCACTGCCTTGTGGGTCAGACATTCAGGTCGAAGGCTCGTTGTGTGGACCCTTAAGAAAACCACCTGCTTCGGTTTGGGCACCCGGGCAGTATCTCAGCCCACGCACTAAAATCATGATGAACTATTTGCTTATGGAAAATATTCCTTTCTCTCTGATTAACATTGAAATGACTCGTACTATTATTATTATTATTATTATTATTATTATCATTATTATTAATATTATTATTATTTTATCACGTCATTTATTCAGTATCTCCTATTTCTACTTTTTGTATCCGTTTCGACCTAGACAGCAGCTCGCCTATGGTGAAAATTCAGCTTTATCTAAACGTTCTCGAGTCACTGCATGGTTGAAAATTGTATGTTACCACCGAATACGAGTACTGAAGCAGTTTTTCTGAAATCACGTGCACCATTCAAACTGGCTGCCTTCAACGTTCGCACACTTATGCAGGTCGGACAACAGATAGGGCTGGCTATGTCTTTGGAAAGTCTTAATATTGATGTGTGTTGTCTATCCGAGACCCGTATTCAAGACTCTGGTGAAGTACTACAAGTTCGCTCTCCATCTGTCGCTTCAAAAAGCTTGTTTTATGTGCGTTTATCCGGGGACTCTGTGGCATGTTCGTCTGGTCTTGCTGGCGTTTGTGTCGCACTAAGCGCTAGAGCTGAGGCAGCACTAGTCGACTGGATCCCCATTAACAGTCGGTTATATGCTGTTAGATTAGAAAGTTCCATCAAAGTGAGAAGAAATCGGCGTGAGAAACGATGTCTTTTCGTCATCTCCGCCTATGCCCCGACAGATTGCAGTCCGGATGCAATCAAGGATGAGTTCTACCACCAGTTAACTGTTCTTCTCCAGAAAGTGCGTTCGACAGATATTGTAGTACTAGCTGGAGACTTGAATGCTCAGGTCGGGCGTCTAGGCACAGAAGAGAGTCGTTTAGGTGGCCGATGGGGACTCGTTGGTCGCAGGACAGATAACGGGGAACGTCTACTGCAGCTATGCACAGACCACAACCTGTTTCTGGCTAGCACTAACTTTCGGCACAGTCATCGCCGATGTGCCACCTGGCGTCTCCCTTCTACATCTCAAGCCTGGATACAGATTGATCACATCGCGATCAGCTACCGCTGGCGCGGTTGTGTACAAGACTGCCGCTCCTTTTGCAGTACTTATCTGGACTCTGATCATGCCCTGGTCTGCGCCAATCTTACCTTACTTTTCAGTAGACAACGAAGTGACCGCCACCAAAGGATTGATGTTAGCAAGCTGGCTGCAACTTCTGTTGCTAGTAAGTACCGAACCGAGCTAGCTTCTAGGCTAGCTAGCATTCCACCGAAAAGTATAGATGAGCATTGGTTGCAATTGCATGACGCCATGAAAATGGCGGGTCAAGTCTGTTGTGGGTCTGCGAAACGTCCCGCTTACAAGCACTGGGTTTCTTCTGGTTCCTTACAACTGGTTGAAGCCTGTCGGTCTACTCCGGGTGACCGTGAGTTTGACCACAGACCAAGGATGTTACGTAATGAAATCGGGCAAAGCTTGCGTAATGACCGAGAAGTGGTCAAGAAGTTCGTGTATCTAGGTAGCTGCATAAGTGCTGGTGGCGGCATGAGTGATGAGGTCAGTTCACGTACGGTGAAAGCCATTGTGGTTTATGCCAATCCGGGCCATCTTTGGCGCCTTCGTGATGTTAGTCTGGCTGTAAAAGGTCGGATCTACAACGCGACGGTGAGAGCAGTTTTGCTCTATGCTTGTGAAACCTGGCCTCTCCGAGTTGAGGATGTTAGACGACTCTCTGTGTTCGATCATCGTTGTCTCCGAAGGATTGCTGGCATCCAGTGGCAACACCATGTCAGTAATGCAGAGGTTCGGCATCGAGTGTTCGGTCACAGAGACGATAATGAAATTGGTGTCACCATCTTGAAACACCGACTTCGCTGGCTTGGACATGTTCTACGAATGTCGTCCCAGAGAATTCCACGTCGTGCATTATTTGCCGACTCTGGGACTGGTTGGAAAAAGCGGAGAGGTGGTCAGTATATGACATGGTGTCGTGGTATGAAAGAAAGCTGCAAAGGGCCGGCTTGTGTTGGTCGTTCTCGACTCCCTGGCTGGGGTCCGAGAGATGGTGTAACGTAGTGGCTAGAGACGTTATCAGATATGGCTCAGAATAGAAGCCAGTGGCGATCCTGCTGTAACCTTCTTTTACTTTCTTCATAAAAAGTGGTTGTATCTTCCTTAACCGAAAGATCTCTTCTGATTGTACCTTTTTGTTTTCCCCATCATTGTTCTCTCCCTCTTCTTTTTTTATAATTCCCCACGTTCATTACTTTTTTTTATATATATATTTTTTTCTCCTCTTCAAATTATCATTGTTTTGTGTGGCGCATATATATTTGGTGCCCCCCTGTACCAATATTTATGTGTTCAAATAAAATAAAATAAAAAATTTATTTATTAAGTAGTACGTGTTGTCAGATTGTTCGAAATGTGTTTGGCAAATACATCGCGTATTTCTGATGACCTTCGTCTTCATTTCTTATTCAAAAGGTAGTCCATTTTGTTGATCGATTTCCTTCTCCTTTCACAATAACTGCGAATAAAAATTTGGATTATTCATACCTATCTTAAAAACCATCGCGATTCCATTCTTCCGGTTAAATAATACGTATGTTGTCTCATTGTGCCAGTAAAGTTGCTTGTAATTCTTGGTGTGACTTGTATTTTTTGTACTAAGCAAACTTCTAACGCAGATTGATTTTGATATTATAATTATGTATATATCTTACATGTGGGTATTTTACTCGCAGGACTTAAGTACAATACGTAACGTGCAGCAGGGAGTATGCTTTCTGGGATTATCTTGTGCAGAAGAATGCTCAAATATGCTTCAATCATCCAAGTTAGTTTTTTTTAGAAGCTTGAGTCATTAATTCAGGTATGCAATAGACATGTAAGAGTTCAGTGGTGGCCGACACTGGAAAACCCATGGGTCGAAGACTCTTTGGCTGATGACGATCTACTGAAGAGAAAACCAATGGATTACGAAATTAGTCAAGCAGAATATGTATGGGTGGAAAAAATTTTGAAGAACACTAAAATTCCGTTTCCTAAAAATATCGTGGCTCCAACACCTAGTGGCTGGATACCCCCAATCCGTATGCAAGCAATACTATATTTTTAATGCTTTAACTTAATTCTTCTCATAAAACAAATTGCAACAAATTTCAAAGTCTAGATGATTATTTCTAAGCTCTTTGTCATAGCAATAGTTTTTCGAATTATTTTTACTGCCTACTAAAGTCGAGTAATGAACATAAATAAATAGGCGGTATCACGTGTCAGTCAGTTTGTAGAAAATCTTTTGCAAGGTTCATAATAACAGTTGAAATCTCTAAAACAAAAGGAACTCCACTGATTCATTGATAAGTTATTGACTATTAATTCTGTCATATTGATGAAGTGTGAAAAGATACTACAAAATGTCTTTTGAAAAGGACTACTCAGTTTTCCACCAAGCATGACAAAAGCCATCGTGATTTGCATTGTGCCTAAAATATGTTTATGTCTAGGTGCCGTCTAAAATATTGGTTTCAGACGTTGGAATATAGTTGTGAATCGGACTTTCCATTCCGTATAATCGCAGTTCTTTAGTCTCACAATCGTCCATTCATACACATAAGGTATTCAGCTAGTTATTTAAATCAATTTTGAAATTGCCAAAATCTAATAATGTTAATTGTTTTAAAGCTATACGTCCTCAAGAGTTGTCAGGAAACAGTTGCACTGATAACATATTAGATTATACTTGGTCATATACATATTTAGTCTAGACATTAATTTTTGTGGTGATTACTGATATTTCACAGTTCCTTGAAATCGGGACTTACCAACTTTTTATTTGAAACTCCTTCATCTAAGTATTTTAACTTTAATAAATTTATGCTGTAAAAGTTCAGATATTTTCTGCTAGATGATGAGTCATCCTTACGGAATTCTTAGTAACGACCACTTATCCCCCGCTCCATGATGTTGAGATTTAGATTAATAAATCAATTAATTTGACCTGATGACTAACATAATGCTAAGTGGATTACGAGAGCCCCACTTGTTGGTCGGTTATAGCAATACAAATAAAAAATTCAAATATTGGTGACTAAAACCTCTATTTGTGCGTAGTTTAGTGGACCTTCCGGACGTTGACAACACGTAATGCCTACTTTAGAAGCCTGAATGCATATGTATGCAATTCTGAGTGTCATTCATTGATCCCCAGTAAGGTCTTCCGTTTGTGGCAGCATTGAGGATTGGTAGTTCATGCTAGCATCTGTTGGTTCATCAAGATCCTTTAAATGAAGCCATATGGATCCTACAGTTCATTGGCGAGCCAATATCAAATATGAAGCAAAGTCGTATCCCCGTTTATAAGGATAACTTCGAAGAAAATCAACCTAAACATGATCGTGCTTCCATTTGAACCGTATCTTCTAACAGCTTTATCACCCGATTTACCACTTCCTAGCAGAAATATCATTTTGTTTTATGCAAATCACATCATAGTTTTTTTATCAATCATCTTGTAGGAAGTATATGCAATACACACTGAGTGGTATAGATTTTAGGATTGATATCCTTTCTTCCTCCATTATATTTAATTGGTAAATATTGTACAATTCCTCTTATGCTCTTTTCTGCTAGCTGAATTATCAAAGGATGTACCTTATTCTGTCCGAAGGTCGAAAAATCACATGCTACCTGTCTATTACACAGAGAAACAGAGAAAGAAAAAAGAGCATACACATGGGACTCGACAGCTGACAGTCATTAGACATGTTGATGGAGATATGCAAGTAAGTTACGCCTACATTCTAAGGTAATAAAAGTAGAGTTCAATAAATACGTAAGTTATTGTAAAATGCTTATTATTCACTATACTCTCTATTTTACCAAGTGGTAAACTTATAAATCACAAACGACTATTAACCTCTAACCTTAGGGTAGGATTTTATTCCGCAAACTGCAGGTACTATGGCAATGCAGTCTGTTATTGAAAGGTGTATTAAAAAAGTATTTTTATTTATTTATCGGAACACATATATTGGTGCAAGAGGGCACCAAATATATATGCGCCACACAAAACAATGAAAATGGAAAGAGAAAAAAAAGAAGGTAAGGAGCGCAAAAGAAAAAAAGAACAATAACGACCAGATTAGTGTAAGGTAACAATAGTAACAATAATAATAATAATGGGGGAAACGGAAAGGTACAACCAGAAGAAATCTTCCAGTTAAGGAAGATACAACCACTTTTTATGAAGAAAGTAAAAGAAGGTTACAGCAGGATCGCCACTGGCTTCTATTCTGAGCCATATCTGATAACGTCTCTAGCCACTGCGTTACACCGTCTCTCGGACCCCAGCCAGGGAGTCGTGAAGGACCAACACAAGCCAGCCCTTTGCAGCTTTCTTTCATACCACGACACCATGTCATATACTGACCACCTCTCCGCTTTTTCCAACCAGTCCCAGAGTCGGCAAATAATGCACGACGTGGAATTCTCTGGGACGACATTCGTAGAACATGTCCAAGCCAGCGAAGTCGGTGTTTCAAGATGGTGACACTAATTTCATTATCGTCTCTGCGCCCGAACCTCTGCATCTCTATGGACGACGTTGTTTAGCATAAGGGTAGGTTGGAAGAAACTCAGGGTGGCATCATTTATTTATTTTAACACATAAGTATAGGTACAGGGAGGCATCAAATACATATGCGCCACACAGATATCAATTGATTTGTGTGAGGGCTGTGATACTGCTCGGGTGCCCAAACCGAAGCAGGTGGTTTTCTTAGGGGGCCACACCCCGAGCCTTTGACCTGAACGTCTGACCCACAAGGCAGTGGAGCATCGTAAGGAGATGCAGTCCCATGGTAGCCGGTGACCAACGATTGGTTCATACGCCATTTGTTCCTTCAGGATACTGGAGCCCATGTGCAGCATTGGTTTGGGGTCCGGTTAAAGCGCCGGACATTCGCTTTTCGTCCTCTCATTTTTGTAAACAACACCCCCGCCACGAGAAGGCAGTGAGTAGGACTTCCCTGGCAGAGGCTATATACGCATGGCCATGTGAGAGCATTTCGAGAGGGAGAGCGGACTCTCCCTACTCTCGGCCGTACCAGGGCATTTGGGGGCTTATGGACTCAGCAGTATCTGCTTCGGTCTGAGCAGCCGGGTAGTATCATAGCCCTCACACAATTAAAATGAAATGACAATGGACTCAGCCATGTTAGTAGGTGTAGACCACTTGGTTGGGGTCTGGGTGGTTGTGGTAACCAATGGATAAAGACTTTAGGTGACTGCTCACAATCGTTTGCAATGGAGCCAATGCCTTCACTCCCTTTTTTTCCTGGAACTCTCTTATAACTTTTCCTCGATACCCAATCTTTTCTACCACTACTCTTGGACTTGTACTGAAACAATCTTATCTCGCTGTAGTTTGCTAATAGAATATGACAACTCGAACCGATGACCATATGTGTAAGGTTCTACGTTGAGTATGACTGAGGTATTTTACATTTTCTTATTAAATAAAATGAATAATTTACAGCACGTTTTTAAGAGGAATTCACTTCAAAAAAAAGATGTACGAATTCTTCAGCATACTAAACACTACAAGCGCTTTACATTAACCCACGACAACATAAAATAGCTCAGGTTTTGCCACAGATATCTAATACCGTATTACATAATAAAAAGGTTGTATGAATTCCTTAGCATCCAATCGTCTTAAGAGAAAACAGTTTTCGAAGTAAGTCAATAAGTCAACCCATTTACTATAAACGTAATAAATCATTTATTCAGTGATAAGCTTAGGGAATCGAAGTGGATTCTTTCTTCTGTTTACATGTTTATGGAAGAATGACCTTTTTTTACAATATTACAGGCTCTGGCTAATGATCTCCGAAAGCTTCTTCAACCGAAATGCGAAGCTGGATTGTTTCTTTGTCAAGTAGATGAAGTAACACGTTGTATAAAAATTGAAGGGTTGTTCCAAGAAGAGGTAGCTAAATTTCTTCTTAGTAAGGGGTTTTGAGGGTTTTACAAAAGTAATCATGTATATACTAAATAAACAATGTTCTCGCTATACAAAGTTTTATTCTATAACAGCTTCATCCCACGGTCCATGAATAGTCCTGTTAGAAAGAAACAAAATCGAAAATTTTGTGATTATACAATATTAAATTTTTTACTAGGGTCTATGTCGTTTGTGTTCGTGTCAGTGTAGTTTTTAATGGAGCACTTATTTTACACAGTAGCTTGTTTATATAACCAAACCGACCCTAAACATACACAAGCATCATTGTGGAAACTGGTGGTACTAGAATCATATTGTACACAATCAAGATCTCAAACGTGTACAATAACGTGACATTTTTTTACCAAAGACTACTAAGTTTTTATCCAATCGATGTCAAATGATGGATTGTTTGTAACTGGTGCAGAATCATACGACAAAAGACTCACGTTTTTACATGGAAAGTCTCTAGAAGACTAAAATACTGAGTATTTAGAATTTGTAAAAAAAAATAAGTTACGATGAAAAATGAAACTTGGAATTTCACATTTGATTGAACCACGAACCTTTTAATTTTTTGCATTTTTAATAAGTAACACGGTCCAGCAAAATTAATACACAGAGTCGATGTTATGAGTACGCAAAGAAAGATGCATCTATATTCAAATGATACTTCATTGTAAACTATCGGCCAAGCACTCAGAAGAGTTGTAGAACCAGATAATATGGTTAAGCATATTTGTGCTCGATCACCTCCATTATTCTGAAATGCGAATGAAAGTCAACAACAATATAAAAGCATTTTAGGAAGCGTCTTTTTGTGCCATCTTCATGTATTTTGTGGATTAATTAGCTTCAATGAATTAGGAACTACATTTAGGTTGGTGTTACATGAATTATGAAATAAATGTATGTAATTGATTGCCCTGTATACTGTTTTTTTTCGTATCATGAATGACATTGTCTTTTGAGACATCACGAAATTGATTTGCCTAGTATTGAATGGGGTATCTGTGAGGATGGCCCATGGGTGGACTCAAGGAAGCTCAGAAAGTGCCGAAGACATTCCATCCAGTCATCCTTTGGAAGAACATCCCAGGATCTTTGCGTGTAACTTCCTTATTGGACAAATACTAAAAACCACTGTATACTGATTGGATGATGATTTCGCCTTCACTAAAACTATAAATACCTACTGCAATATGAACGAATTTGTACAGATTTTCTAACACTTAAATGATGCACACAATTCATTGCTTCACATATAAACGCGCGAGACAACGTTGTGGACCTTCATTATTCTAATTCAGTTATGTAGCACTGTCTATTGTACTATACGTATTAATGTTTGTACACAAAATTAAGTTAAACTAAAACTACATTTCTAACTAAATTCACTACACGAGAAATGCTTTTAAATTCCCATAATCTAGAGATTAGTTACTGGATTTCGGAAACATTGAAAGCTGTGTCCCTACTCTGGGATGTGTCGGAATTATTTTTGTTAGACTATATAACAAAGCCATATAGCAACTTTCCTACAATCAATTTCGATTATGGTTAATTTTGTTTAAGCCCCTTTATTAACTTAACAGACAATCTTATTCGAACAATAAAAATCCGCATATTTCTTTCTACTATTATGATCACTATCTCATCTGTATAAACATGTACGCTTGATCACATGACAGCCTACGCACACATCTTTTTCTAGCTTAAATGTTGATCGCTTAAATATCACTCGACGATTCGTTCTCTTTCCCCAATTATATATGTATTCAAATCATATTATTAGCCTTTGCCTTGCCTAGATGCGCCTTATTCGATTTGCCTCTGTATTCGCTCGCACACACAAATTCGCCTCTCTGCTTCAATTCGCTCAATGTGCTTATCAGTTTGTGATCTGTGCTATCCGCTAATAAACTGCAGTTACCGCTTCTTATTGCCTTTTGATTTCAAACACCGTTAAGATTCCTATAATAACGGTTATCAAGGTGATTGATTAACGAAGCAAAGCCACTACAACCATACCTACCGATCCCATACAACTGTAACCCTTGGTTTGAAAATTGGGATTCACTATATCAAAGAGGAAACCTTATGGAATCCTGAGAATGCGTACCTTGCTACTAAGGACGCTTCAATCATGATCACAAAGTTGCATAGGCGTTTTTAGAAAACTCATTGGTGCCTACAGACAACGTGATTCTACAAGACTGTCATGGAAAAATATGGCTTTCCGAATATTAGGGTAAGATGTGAAAATATTAGCTATGGAGTTAGCAATTGAATAATGCCTTATTCACATTATCCACCACTTTGTGCTGATGCCAGTTTTAGAGTGGAGAGTGAAGTGGACGAATCTACGAACTAGTCATAGCAGACTTATTGTGCGCAAAATCTGCATACAGAAACCTTTGGTGTTCACTAACATACACTAGTTGTGCTACCCGCTAGATATTCTCCTGCTAATGAGAATTATACTATCCAGTAACTAACTGTACTCTGTTCTATGAATACAAAGCGCAACGTTTAAGGGTAGAAATAATTAGGCGTTTACTGCCTATCTGATTAAAAGGTTTTTTAGAGGACCAATCATGCAGTAGATCTACTAGATAAAAATTATTTAATTTAATAATAAAATTCTGGACAAAGCGTTCAGTCGTTTGGTACCGACTGTGGTGAACGGATCATGTATTCTGGAAGTCTAACAAAGGCAGTAACAAGATTAGGAAGTGATGACTGTAAGACTCAGACATATTAGCCCACTGAATCGGCTATTATTCGTTTACACAAGTGTAAGCACACTGGATATTTCAAACTATAAGAATTGTTGATGCTAAATCTTAAAAAATATAGATTAAAATCATCAGCAGAGTTAGATGGTAGTCAGCAGTGTAATATAGGGTGCGTGTTTCTTCCCACTTGGAGCTCGTCAGCTGAATGTACCTGCTCACTTCGGGACTTGAACCCAGCACAGTTCGCTTCAAACACCGCCTCATTATCTATCTAGCTACCTTGTAAATCTGCTTATAATGCCTATAACTCAACGGCAATATTGAAGCGAACCGAACATATGCCAGAACAGACTGATCGGTTACTCTAAAGTTTATTTACCTGTGAAATCAATAATTCAAGTAATTTGGGTTAGTCTATGCTGTCCAATGCTTCACACACAGTTTTATCTGCTTGACCTATTAACATATGTGTTGAAATGAAAACATTGAAAATGCACAATACAATTATTTCTAAAGCCGCATTACGACAGTAGCAATCATTTGATACAAGGGTTACTGTACTTACGCGAAACCTTCTCGTTAATGCTGGCCATAATGCTAGTAAAGTGACGGCAGTGGAAAGCAATGCGAAAGTATGATAAGGGCCAGGTAAACGACTAGCCAAGCACAGAGCAGCTAACAAAGCAGAACTCAGAGAAATAGTATTCGACCCTGGCCTTCGAGGATGCCCTTTCCAATGAGTCTTGTAATCAAAACATGTCCAGTACACAAGAAGAAAAAAAGTACACATGGCGTATATAGAGTCCGTGCTTACGCTCGATAGGAGAGAATGTAGAACAGGAGCAAGCAGAAAGCAAAATGTAAAAAATACCACGCCCGACTTGATTTCAGGTATGACTAAAAGTGAAAATCATAAGTGATATATAACGACAACAGAAGGAAACTCCAGTACTCATATATGAAAGTGCTGATAGGATAGGTTAACAGTAAAGATATATCTCGAAATATCCAATGATTCACATCAGCTGTGCCCCCAAATGTCCTGGTACGGCCGAGAGTAGGGAGAGTCCGCTCTCCCTCTCGAAATGCTCTCACATGGTCATGTGCATACAACTACTGCCAGGGAAGTCCTATTCACTGCCTTCTCGTGACGGGGGTGTTGGTTACGAAATTGAGAGGACAAAAAGCGAATGTCCGGCGCTGTAAGCGGATATCAAACCAATGGTGCACATGGGCTCCAGGATCCTGAATGAACAAATGGCGTATGAACCAATTTTTGGTCACCGGCTTCCATAGGACTGCATCTCCTCACGATGCTCCATTACCTTGTGGGTCAGACCTTTAGGTCAAAGGCTCGGGGTGTGGCCCCCTAAAAAAACCACCTGCTTCGGTTTGGGCACCCGGGCAGTATCACAGCCTTCACACAAATCAAATGAGATCTGTGTGGCGCATATGTATTTGGTGCCTCCTTGTACCAATATCTATGTGTTTAAATAAATAATAAATAAGCTGTCTACTTAGGTTAGACAATGGTTGACGCAAAAGCAGAGGAAATCGGAAAACTTCACTGACTCACTTTTACGTGTAGTGGACTTCTTTGCATAACTAAGTAGAATCTTAAAAGATCATGTAAAACGTTTAGCAGTATTGTCCAATATGTCTATTTTCAATTTAAAAGCTGATATAATGCCGATGATTTGACCTAACAACTATCTTAATCGGTTACAGTGACGTACAAAGTGATTTCCCTCAATTACTTGTGAAATTTTATTTATTTAATATTGATATCTTATATGTATGGATATTGACTTACTATGCAAATTGCCTATTCTTCTGCATAGTGGTCTTATCTTTGATTTCAAATCAATCAGAGACTTATGACAATAACTCATTCTTGTGAGCAGCCATCACTCGCCCATGTCATATATTGATCATTAACTATCAGTCAAGATTCTTTTCCGTCAACTGACAATCGATGACTTGTTGATCAGATCATTGAAGACCTTCTAGATAACACGAGTGTACTCAGACTTGCAGACTACTTTTGTAGCCATAACTAGATATTTGTTCATCTTTCCGGTTGTAGGTTACTTGTCACTCAGTAAATTAGACGCTACAAGCTGAACAGATTTCTGACTTGTAATCATATGTAAATCACCTGCTATTATTATCCATTCCATTAATATTCCCTTACCAACAGGAAATTTATGTATAAACTAAGGTCACAAGGGAGAGAAATGTCGGATCGTTAATCCCGAGCAACTTAACCGCAATAATATTATAGATATTGAAGCACCAAAAATAAAGTGTTTCTCATCACCATGGACTATTTAAGCATTATTAAAAAGCTATAATATTCCAGAGTAACGCGTGGGCCATTAGTTAAATTCTGATTAGTCCTACGGTTTACAAGTATTTATTCATAAAACCTTAAATATATAAAACCGAACTTACGTGAAGTCAATAGTTACCTTTATGAAATTGTCTTTCATTTTCCTCTTTCATTGACCAAAACATGGCATATCCAATAGTTATAAAGAAGAAAAGGTAAATATTGAGATACCGTGGAGAAATCCAGCCTAACAGTAGATAAAAGTATATAATTACAAACAAAAACAAACTGTACTAAAGTAGAGATGGATAAAACATACCAACAGAGTTGTTGATAAATGCTGCCAGCAGCAATTATAACATCACGTGCTCGAAGTTTGGGAAGAAACACTGTTTCTTGATTACCAGACAAATTAATTACAACTAACGGTTTTCTTTTAATCCAGACAAGAAATCTGAATCTACATAATTATCAGGTAGACCATGGTTGTTGTATAAACAGTTGTTCCACATTTTTGTAGGAGGAGCGTCCTTAAACATGGTTGTTTACTCACCAACCTTTGCACACCAGAAACTCAATAACCGATACGTGTATTTCAATCACTTGGAGAACGCTAGAACCGGAGAGGAAAGTGTTTAATCCATTAAATGAAGTTTATGAAAAAAACCAATGTGTAGGAATAGAGACTGCATAAAGAACTAAATATCTGAAAACATTATATGATAGAAAGCTGTAAGCCACATTTTACACGTGAGCTTTCACCACTTTTCTTGATCATTTATAGCACATGTGTTTCCTGATAAATCTGGGCACCGAAAATGATGTCCAACAAAAATGAACTGGTAATATTATGAAATAGCGAAGTGAGTCATACAGTCAATAACTGAATAAATGAAAATAGTATTTGGTGAAGGATACAGTTGATTTAAAAATACGGCCGAGAAAAATTTCATTTAGTTAAGTGAGTTCATTTCAAAATTATTGAAGGATGTATGAGAGAACTACACCAGAACTGCCACTGGTTTTTATTCTGAGCCATGTCTGACACCACTCGAAGCCACCCAGTTGAACCGCGTATAAGACCTCAATCTGAGAGCTGTGGTGATTTGACAGATGTCATTCTTTTACAGCTTTCTTTCATACTCCGATGTCCTGTTATAAGCAAATCACTCCACTTTCTCAACCAGTCCTACTATCAGCAAATAAAGCACGATCTAAAAGTCGCTGGGATGACATTTGTAAGACATGATTAAACTATCGAAGTCGGATTTTCACACTTATGACATTAGTTAAATGATCGCCACACACTAGATATTTAGGCGAAATACCTCATTGTCTCATCATCCTGGTTGAAGAGTGAATTTCGGTGGCAACATCAGAGAATCGACATCACATTTTTTAATCAATGTCCCGCATATTTCCCAAAGGTTCGACTTTAACTACTTATTTCTGTTTGCATGAGAGTTTAATGTTATGAGGGTTCAATATCTCACTGCAAATCCAGCAATCAAAACAACATCAACCATTCTACTATGGCTTAAAAAACAGGAATCGCACCGTTGTCATTTTAATAGGGATTATGCGTTATTATATCTAACGTATGAATATGAAACCGGACAATACTTTAGGTCTTACGAATACTAGACGCAACGCGCAGGTCGGATCTGGCGCTTTATGATGTTTCAACCCTCAGTCTTTAGGATAAGAAAGGCAAATCAAGCGACCTGTGTTAAACCTTCCGATTCCCATTGCTGTGAGGATTCAATATCCCTTCAATTTGACGCAAAATGACAGCCTGAGTAATATTCTTCATTAATTTGACCATAGTCATCAGTCCATTTTCGTTCAAAATCAAGTAGCGTGAAACGGTTCCAATGCAAGTCCAATGGGACCATAGCACCAGTTGCGCTGACTGATCAATAGTTATTCACCAAATCTCTACACCCAGTTTCATAGTCGGACTCATTACTGCCTCCTCCCAATGTCTTGGCAGTTTCAACTGCTCAAAAGACATACCTACAGTATTGATAGTGGTCTGACAATTAAACTTTCTGGTGCTACTATAACACGAAGATAGATACCGTCAGCATCTCTGTACTCGTGAGGTAGTCGTGGATAAACTCCGTTCCCAATAATCACGAGACAATGCACTATTGTTGGAATAGATGTTTGTCGTTTCGCCTTCGTCGGTGGTAAACACTGAAACATTATGGTAAAGTATTAGCTATATCAACAACATTATTTTCGAACTTCAGTGTGTTTAACTGGTTCAGGAGTGGTAGGATTCAATCGCTTTTCTGAGTTCATCTCATAACAGCCTTTTGGAACTATTTTGCGAATCCATGACCTGTTCTTTCTGAAATGATAATAAGGTCTTGCTTATCAACGCTTTGTATGTCACTAGCCTCACGAAAATTGGTTCTCGACTTCTCATAGGTTTTGAAATAAGCATTTGTGGTAGATTGTATAAGTGGTTACATAAAAGTGAGCATGGACAGAAGGATTTTATTCAATAAACCTCCAGTGTTTACCATCGTTGACCTTCTCTAAACGTTACATGTTGAAAGCAAATCTTCTCAGTAATTATATGCTCAGCTTCAAAGATAATGTGGTTGGGAACCAATAGCACTACAAGTCTGAGTGTCTTGACGAAAATACGAGAATTTATTTAATAGGATACAAAGTAGGACTTGGTAGTAGAATAAGATTTTGCGTAGCAACAGCTTTGAATAACCCAATTAAATTCTTTATTAAGAGTAGAATGAAGGCAGTATTTAGGACCTTATATTTAAACAGTAAAAATAAAAATGAGTCTGAAAATCTAATTTATGTGAATAGGTGAAATAAAAAGCTTCAAATCCCTCATTTAGAAATTCTGGAAGATCACATATAAAAATATGCAAAAATGTTAGATGTCAGACGAGACCAATCATAATAGTACTAATGGTGATGATGCAAACGCAAGCAGAATTCGGATACTGGGTTGAAAAATATAGGTGCTCCATTCTGATCTACAGTCAGTTAAATAGATACGGGACCTTGTAAAAATTATTAAAATTCAATGAGACTCAGAAGAACCAATGAATGACACTCACTTTCCAAAGTCTTATTAATCAAACTTTGAATTTGACCGTCAACCTCTACTTAGTTTCTTAGGCCAAACAGATGAACTTTAATCCTCCCATGAGCGAATTGTACAGATGGTTATGCAGGTAATAGAAAAAGCTTTCATTTGACAAACTTCCCCATTTAGTATCAGCGTATCGCCTATGCCTTCAGGTAGGAACCTGGGGATTTTCAACATATTGGAGAGGAAATTATGGTAAAATACTGTGCCGAGTATTTAAGACTATGACAAGTTTCTTCATGAAGAACTCCTGTGAGGTCACTCAAACCGCCTCAACCTTCAAGAAATTACAGAATCTAACTATTTGTATAGCACAGTCCTTTCTCTTGTGATATGTTCTTAAGGTTACCGTTGAAGGGGTGCTCAGGAATGCTTCCATACTCTAAGTGGAACCGAATAAAACCACTGAAGATTAAGTGCTAAGTTTCGCTATCGAACCGGTCAAAAATGCTCTTCAACTTTACTATTGCAAGATTTTCTCGGAAGCCTTTTTTGTAGCAGTCATCATAAGAGCTTGGAATATAGGATGCAAAAACTCCTGAATCTTTTTCTACCCTATACACCTCTAAATGGTGGTCACCTGAGTTATTCGTGTAATCCGCAACATGTCTCAGATGGACCACTCTACACTTTGAAGTGTCGAGAGGAAGTCAACTGTTATCCGCAATAGCTCAGACGATTCCTGCGAAGTAATGCCATTTAAGTTAAAAAATAAAAGAGATCCTTGTACTGAGCCCTGGAGAAACCTCACTGGAACATTTGTGACGCCTATGTTTCAGACATTTCTATCATATGAATATTATTAGCACTACTCATTTCACGCAATCCATCGTTTTTCTGTTGTAGCCTCGCAGCGCCCATATATAAGCAGTTAACGCTTTCTGTTCAAAACGCGTGTGTGTCATCGTCCTGTTCGCCTGAATGAAGCTTGCATGGATGACCAGGAAAACTTCCCATACAAGATTTTCCGAATATGTAGTTTCTGTCTATTATACGTTTTGCCAACTTGCTTTTCTGCTTAGTCCTTGCATTATGTGGCCTGTTCAGATGTTTAAGGGTTCCAGTACGAAAGATAGGATATAGAATGACCGTTCTTCTTGTTAATCGTACCATTTTTGAACCAAGATGTTCTTAAGCCTCAAGGACTGTTTTCTGACTCCGAACTACTTTAGACTGCATTATTGTGGTTCATGTTTTCTGGAATAACTTGAACAGTAATGTTCATTCCGTGCAAGCATATCTCGCTAGATTCCTTGAGGATTATCCTATGAGACTGTCTTCTGAATGTGGAAAATTCTTCATTATTCCCATGGCGTTCCTAAATTTCTTCACGAGAAGCTTACACGAAGGCGTTTTGGGTGATTTTGATGGTTTGTGTCTTCTCACCGTTTAAATCGTATGACCCTCAATAGTTCGATTTCCAGACGTTTTAGCCTGCTATCTGATTTCCACTAAGAATTTTGCCATTTTTGTTCCACAAACTGAGAGAAATATTAGAATGGTCTAACACCGTCGATTTTATGGCGGTGCTGATTTTTTATATATCCTCATCGGTGTTGGTGCCTGCTCTACCAATTCTAGTATTGTCGAATATCTTGTTCCTTACGTAGACGCGAGCCTTTGATCGTTTGTCCGTTTTTAAACTAGTTTTCTACAGGGTTGCAGGCAATTGTTTTCGTAAACCTGTCAGAAGACAAATAATACTCGTCAGCATGTCATTAGCATTCACATCATATGTACTACATACGTTTTCACTATTTGGCTTGCTGTGAAGATAGTAAGCAGTTTGGGTGAAGTCTATTCTTTTATTGCCAAAGCAGCAATTGCATTTGTCACATTACAAACCATAGGTGAGGGCTTAACGGCGGACTGATCGCCTCCATGTGTTATTGGTAGCCATGTTTAAGTATAAGTTGTTAACTGGATTGAAATGGAATTTCATAGCCGCAAAAAAGATAGTGCTATCAAAACGGATAAAAATGGGTAGCGTAAAAGCTTAAAATACGCTGACGTTAGCCTCTTATAGTAAAAATATAAAACATTGAATAGTAAGCTTAGGCGTAAGTTCGGCTAACTAATTATTTGAACAAGATTAAGAAGAAAATACGCTACTGTATATTGAGGTCAGTGTAGATTCTTTGTGTTAAAAAGAATACTCTTTTTCGTTTGATGCATGTAAATCATGCTAAGATTGTACTTCCATCTCATAAAGCCTGCGTATATTGTTTTCAACCATGTCAAAAAAACCTGAAATCCAAACAAAGTTAGTGAGTTTAGGATTTTTTTGGTGCATTTCCGCATCTATTTTTATCTTGCCTGAGTGTTGAATAAAAACTATCTCCCTCAAAACACCAATACACTTAGAATGTAGGCTTAAAATATCTGATATACTGTTTGGATTTTTGTTTCCGTATTTTCCCTGTTAACGTATAAGTACAATCATTTATGAATTGATAGTATGCCGCGAAACTATATCGTGACTTTCATGAAGCTCTAATTTCTTGGACTTCACTCAACAAACTCTTTTAGTCTAAACAGCAGTACAGTATACTTTTTGAATTATAATCTTTGTTACTTCATTTTAATTCTTTCCCTCTGCCATTTATATTTCTATCATGACCACACTTTGCTGTTTCGCGCAACTAATTGAGTGAAGTAAGATCATGGGGTTTATGTCCATTAGATAATCTGTTTACTAAATAACTTGGACAGTTTTAGTTTTAGTCGTAAACTCAGTGGCGTTACATATTGAGGATCCGTCTGGAATTCGCTTTTTAGTCTTCTATATACACTACAAGTTCATATCCTCTAGTTGAATCAGCTGATGTACGAATAAATAGAACAATGTCTACTTAATACAGACCATAACTTCACTTTATAATTATTCTATAGACCCGTTGCATTGATAACGACGGGAAGTAAAAAATAAAACGCCAGTTGTATTTCCGACACGTGTTGTAGCGACCGAAATATCAATAGTCGGTTTGAACGTAGAACTAACGAACGAAAGTTTATTCGGTTAGGTCAGATGACGCTCTTTGGTATAGAGTACAAAGCACAAACTCTTCGTGCAATTTAGACAATTCTGATTTGGGAACGAGAATAAACTGTGTCAAAAGTACAGAATACCTCGATCGGTAAAACCTGGGCTATTCAGCCAAGGGTTTCTCTAATACAAACTAACATGCTGATCAACAAAAGGAATCATTAAAATACAAAAGTTAAATGCCTGAGAATCAATAAAAATACTACCAACAAGATGGGATCAGATATCTATCTACAAGGATTCTGGCAGACAGTCAAAGTTTGACGGTCATACACTGAACCATGCCGTGACCTCCAGCTTCGCCAAACACGGCCTTATTGTCAACAGTTCGGCAACACGCAACAGTTATGTTAGGCAACAAAAGCCACATAATAAGAGCTCAGACGAAGAAGATTGAAGAACATAAAGTGCGGTTAAGAACGTCCCGAATAAAGGTTAAAATAGCAAGACATGGAGAAGGGACAAATAACTGACAGTACCGTTCAATGAAATGCTCTA